CCGAGGAAGTTTGGATTTGCTGGTGCCCACTGAGCAAGATTTGTGAAGCATAAATGAGAAAACCTGCGCCGGCCTCCCTTTCCCATAAAAAGCTGCTCAGGTGGCTTAGTGCTGTGGGCTAATGCGGAGGAGGAGGAGGCGGCTGTGCACCTGCTAGTGCTTTGGCTGGGGCTGGTGGCAGAGCTGCCACGAGGTCCCCCCAGCAGCAAGCTGTTAGTGGCAGCGGTGCCACAACAACAAAGGGCCCTTTGATCCTTTCCATTTGGAGAACTTAAAACAAGAAAGCAAAACTACAATAAGGCCAAGTTGGGTCATAAAAAGGAAAGCGGGGAGGAGCACCAAAGCGTGCCGGAGTGTAATTGCAGAAGCAGCAAATGCTTTGGCACTTAATTCTGCTTTAGTGTCAGTTCGGCATTTCGTGTTTAATACTGGAGAGACCGTCGCCAAATGCTCTGCACAAACAATCCAGTGCTCCTCAGTATGTTTGTGGTACTTGGAGAGACCCTGGCTCGAAGGCACCTCCCCAAGCTCTGCTGCCTTCCATTTCCCATGGGCTGCAAGTCCAGGCTTCGTGAGCAGTTCCATGGCAGAGATGTCCCTTCCTGGCTCTGGGGTGACTGCTGCTGCTCAGCCTCTGTGTGGTACAGGAATTACAGTTGCAGCTTTCTGCTTTGGTGCTGGCGATGCCCCCATACACCCCAAGCTCGCAGCAGTCCGTCACCGCCGTGCTCTGCTGAAGCCTCTGCTGTCCTGCCTGCCTTGCTGCCCTTCCGCTCACTTCTTTGCAGGCCTGGGTGATGCTTGAGAGCTGTCTGCAGAAGGTGGATTTCAGGTTGGGTATTTTATAGGTTTATCACAAGGCTGGCTAACAGCTGCCATATCTAACAGCTATGAGGGATGAATTTAAAACAAAAAAGAAAAGCTCTGGATGGTTTCTCTGGCAACAGCTGAGGTCTCAGGAAAGCCATTTCTCTTCTCTTTCCGGCGCTGACTGTGGGTTTTGGTGCCAGACTGAGATTCTGTCCCACAGCCCTTCCTGCTGCACTCCGTGGTCGTGGCCAGCTCCTGGAGGCAGTGGGCAGCAGGCAGACCTGCTGGCTGAGAGCAGGGAAGGGCTGCTGCACGCCACTCGGCTTTCAGAGCCAAAAGAAGGAAAACATCATAAGCTGTTATGCAGTATTGGGCTTTTCTCTTTAAAACTTAATTTACTTGCCTAATTGCCGGCAGCCTCAGCTCCCTCCAGCTGCAAAGGTGGATGGGACAGAGCGCTGAGCTCCCACTGCTGAGCACACACTGCTGTTGGCTGGGAGGTGTTTGGTGACTGTGGATGTGCTCCTTGTGAAGGCAAAGCTTTTATTTGTGCCACCAAAAGCTGACACTCCCAGGACGTGCTGGATCAGCTCAGCCTGCATCTGCTTTCCTCAGCCCCAGTCCCGTGCCTGTGGGCTGCAGGACAGAGGCATCCCTGGTGCTGCTGAGGTCTGTGTCCTCCCAGGGCAGGGTCCCAGCCAGAGCTTTGCAGATGGGCTTCCTCTCCCTGCGTTTTCCTTGTGTGCATCCCTTGTGCTAGCTGTGCTCCCTGGGGCTGCCAGGGCAGTAGGGCTGTGAGCCCTCCCGCAGCACTCAGCAGCTCCTGCCCGGCTCTCTCCTGTTTATCTTAATGAAGCAGAAAGTTCTGAGTTTTGAAGGCTGATTGCTCTGTGAGGTGCATCCTGACTGCTGAGTATGCATGAGATGCACCTGGCAGCATCTCCCTGATGACATCGCAGGGGTGGATGCAACCCCGTATTGGTGGCAGATGTGTCATCAGTGCTCCAGAGAAGGGCAGGCAGTCTGCTTTTTACCTGGTATCTTCACCTGAAAGCCCCTGGTGCTCGGCAAAAGCCATCTCCCTTTTCCGTCCATCTCTGCAGTGAAGAACAGAGGAGGTAGGGAGACAGACCCAGAGAGTGAGCGTCGTGCTGCTGTTTGAGCAGGGACGTGGTGAAGTGACAGGCACCTGAGGAAAACAAGGTGACAAGAAATACTGAGAGCCCTTGTAAATTGTTTCTTGCCCCAATTGTGGGTCCAGCTCTCCATGGTGTAGGTAACGTGTGTGAGTGATTTATGTGCTGTTGGGGAGTATTATAACAGATGCTGTAAAATCGTCTTGTAAGTATCTGAATATCATTTGTCTGTCTCAGGCATGCCGTAGCACGTACAGGAATGCTCTGTTTGGGGAAGAGCGAGCTCCTTATCCTCATTTATCTTGAAGTACTTGTAAATGTTGCTGTAATTTCATGTTATCGAATCATTTAGCTCTTCCTCTTCCAAAACGAAATTATTTTATCTCATGCACTTTGTTTACTTCAAATTAGCCCTGAGGTTGGCCTCGAGTTGCACCTTGTTATTCCTACACCTCCCGTCTCTGTCTTAGGCACTGCTGGCAAATTTGAAGGTATAAGTAAATACTTTTTTGTTATGAATAGAATAACTTCCCCCTCCTACACACACATTTTCTTTTAATTCCAGTCTTCGTTTTCCATGAGAAACTGACATTGCAGTGCAAGCGGAAACCTCCCAAATTGCACGAAAACGCCGCAGTTCTCCTAGCAACAAGGTCAGGGCTCAACGCCAGGGCCTTTCTGTGAGCGCGGGGAAACGGCCGCTCCAATTACCTGCTGCCCTGCAGTACAGATTTGGTCGCTTCATCAGCACCTGGGCTTGGGTGGATTTGAAAGCCAGCCACGGTATTGTTTAAAAGTTCTCCATTCATTGGTGAAAGGTCTGTAGTGGGCTGAGCCCTGAGAAACCCGGGGCTGGTTTTATGGCTTCGCATTGAAACCCGGTGGAACCCTGTGGTGTCAACTGATTTCCTCTTCCCCGCTCATGTGGCTTTGATCAAACCCAGGACTCGGAGAATGACCCCCCCAGGACCTGAAACCCTGCGCTTCGCCCACCTCTGCCATTCATTAAAGCGTTTTCAGGCTTTGCATTGTGGATGATAAAATTCGGACCTTTGTGCCTGGCGCCGGGTGAAGCTTGCCAGTTGTATGGCCGAGCTCAGCCCCGTGGGGTGTGCAGCCCAGGTCAGCTGTTTGCACAGAAGGAAGCCATCTAGCTCCTTCTCTCACACCTTCTGCCTGGTACTGCCCTGCTCTGTTGTGTGCTCTTAATGAGGCCGACATGTGGTAACGAAGCCCCTTCAGCAGGATGGTGCTTTAATGGCTCTTGGGTTGGCGTACCCCAGGCTGTGGCAGCGCCTGTTGGGAACAGCCCCAGCATCCAGCCCCACTGCAGCCCAGTGGGCTCCTCACCCCAGTGACCTGCAGCTGTGCTGCTGTGCTGCTCAACGCTGCCTTGGTGTCCCCGCAGATGTGATGGAGACATGGCCAAAGGAGCTGATACTGCTGCGTTTGTGCAGGAGGGAGAAAGTTTGTTAGCCAGCATGGGCTTGCAGTTCTCTCAAAAACCCGAATGTGACTTCACTGGGGAGCTGGATTGGACTGATGCCATGCTGGAAATCTTTCCTTTGGCTGTGCTAAGCGTTAGATCAAGTCCTGTCAGAAACACTGTAGTGTGTTGGTCACTGTCCAGAGCCTGTGAAACACCCGGGGCTGAGATGGCATCCAGGGCTGGATGAGCCTGTAGCTACTTGTTGTCTTCTGATGCCCAAACCCGAGTGCTGCTCAATGGTCTCAGTGCAGCACCACTAAATCGACAGTTAAAGGACAAAATATATTTTCAGACATGTGATTATAGATGAAAAGAATTTCCTCTATGCTGAGTGACTCAAATGTGCTACCGGGTGACACTGCAACTCCCCACAGTGCTGCAGGTGCTGTAGAGTTTGGAATCCTGAAAGCACCCTGAGATCAGTGCATGGTCTCTCTCAGCACACAGGCTTGGCTCTGGCTGAGCCAAACCCTTCTTGCTGGAGACTCAGACCAGTGAGTGCTTTGAGTCTGGGTGCTGTCACATTGGCTGTGCAGTGGTGGGGAGGTGGCTTGCACCGCTCTGTGTCTGAGCAGCAGTCCTGGTGGGACAGGCAGGGTGCTCAGGGAACAGGAGGTCTGACCTCCAGGTCTACATCTAAACCTGGCTTCCTCTGCAAAGAGGCGAGCCATTTAAGGATGTGAGATGGATAGTGGAAGGCTGATACCCTCCTCTCTACCAGAAATGAAACCCTCTTCCAAATCCCGGAAGAGTAGAGCTGTATATATGTATGTATATGTAAATATATGCGTCATCTTATACATCATCCCCTTTGGCAGTGGACTTAGTCCCCAAGCTGTACTGGCTTGGGAGGCACGTGGGATGCTGACCCATCCTGGAGGAACTGCTCGGCATGGCGACTGCCCTCCATGCTGCTGCACTGCCAGGGCTGGCTTCCACCTAACCCCAGCCTGCAGCAGCAAGCAGATGGGGTGCTGAGGGTCCAAGTGGGGTTGGGAGCACAGCACGTGCCTGTGGCCCTAGCCATCCACCTGTCTTGCCCTGGGAGCTCCAGGCATGGTTTATCTGCTCGCTGCCATGCCTGGGATGCTGCAGGAGCATCCAGTACCATCAGGCATTTTTGAAAATATTGAAAATATATGAAAAGCAAGCAGTAGAAGTAGAAAGTGTGTCATTTGGCCTATGTGAAGTTCTGTTTTTTCCTGATAAGCATGAGGTTTCCTTGGAACAAGTTCAGTTAGTCCTCCTTTCTAATGGAAAACGCAAAGCGACGTGTCCTGCGTTGCTTGCAGATAAAGGAGCTGGATGGGACACGCTGCTGTCTGTGAAAAATCTCTCTGCCCTTGGATAGGAGTGCTCAAAAAGATGGTGAACTGACGTTGGTTATGTTTTTCCTAAATCATTTCTGTTTCAGCTGATGGTTTGTTACTGCTCCTGTTAGCGACGTTTGAACCAAAACCAGGGTTCAGATGACTTTATTTGTGCCAGATTGGGTTATGGTCACTGAGCTTGCATTTGGTTAACAATTGCTTTCTTTTTTTTTTTCTTTTTTTTTCCTTTTTCAGCCTGATGGCACCAGCAAGGAGTGTGTCTTCATTGAGAAAGTCCTAGAAAACAACTACACGGCGCTGATGTCAGCAAAATATTCAGGCTGGTATGTTGGATTCACCAAAAAAGGGAGGCCACGGAAAGGGCCCAAGACCCGAGAAAACCAGCAAGACGTACATTTTATGAAGAGGTACCCAAAGGGGCAAGTGGAGATACAGAAACCTTTCAAGTACACAACAGTCACCAAGAGGACTAAGAGAATACGACCCACCAACCCCAGTTAGAAGTAGACGAAACAGTGTCACAATAATAAACCACAAAAAAAAAAAAAAAAACAAAAAAAAAAAAAAACTGCACCAGAGGAATATTTTTACATTAAAAATAAGGAAGAAGCTCTATTTTTGTACATTGTGTTTAAAAAAAAAATAAAAATAAAAAAAATTAATAAAAGACTAGATGGCAAACGCTGGGGAAAAGCTGTTAGGGATTTATTGTGACTTGAAAAATGAAATGAACTGCTCTATTTAAATTGACTTCTTGTTGTTGATGACACACAGGTGCTTATTTCTCTTTTTGGAAAGGACAACTTTTCAAGCATATCCCCAGAGGAAAAAAAAAAAAAACAACAAAAAAAAAACAACAACAAAAAAGTAATTATTAAAAATAAATAAATAAAGCCAAAGAAAACCAAAGTTCTTTCCCAAAGTTACTGAGACCCTGCCCTGAAACTTGCCAGTTTTGCAGTAATCTATTTATTGTCTGCTGCAAGCTGGACCAAGACAAGATGGTGTGTGCCGCAGTGATTGAGTTTGCGTGGAGTCCTCGACGCATCGATCTTCTGTAACCTTTCTGACGACATAAGGTGTCACGGCTCCGTGATCCTGCATTACGCTCAGTTCTGGAGAATGCTGCTAAATACATTCAAGTGACTACAAAATGACCTAGTACACCAATGATAAGGGAATATTTTAAAACCAGCTATATTATATATATTATATATATATAAGCTATTTATTTCACCTCTCTGTATATTGCAGTTCCATGAACCAAGTATTACTGCCTCAACAATTAAAAAAAAAATTATTTAAAACGCATGTATATATTTTTTGCTGTTCGTGCTTCGTTCCCCTTGCTGAGTAGTTTTTTTTTCAATGGCTGTTTACCTTTGATGTGAGGGCTGCAAGGTATATATTTGGGATGGCTTCCCCACTATAAACGTCATTGCCGGTTCTGTAATTCTGCTTTTTCCTCAGTACTGTCTTCTTTCTTCTCCCTCACTGCTCCCATAGGGGAGGAATCTTATGTGGGGCGATGGGCCGGGAGTGGGGAAACACGTGCTGGAGTATTTCAAGAGCAGGACTTAAATTTGATACTTTTCAGCCCACTAAATATTTCCTAAAGCCTTGGCCAAGGCAAAGGTAAACTGGAAAATTAGCATATGACTCAATTAACACGTACTTACGCGTGGCTTGTGTTTCCTTTGCTGGAGCTCTGGAGAGGTGCTATTGGTTTCCATGGAGTCGACAGGATTCAATATTATAACTTTTTAGACTCATCCTAACCCCGACCAGCCCCCAGACCACTCCCTGCCCTCCTTGCCCCACGTGTTTCTCCCCACTTCTGGGTGCTCTGCTCCTCAATGCGGCCCATTCTCCTCGTGAGACTTCAGCAGAGATTTGGGTGATGTGGAGCCATGTGTAAGCACAAAGCGCTCATCCGTGTTTGCAGACAGCGTGTGCTGACCCTCCTGGTGGAGCGGGTGAGACAGCACCAAATGGAGAGCAGCAAAAAGAAGGAGGACAAAATGGTTGACCTCAAATTGTAGCTGAAAGGACGACCAAGCACCATTAAGGAAATGCTCGCTTGCTTTCTTGCATGCGCACATGGCTGTGCTCCCTGATTCCAGCCAGGGCTTGGGATGCTCAGAGACGCTCAGAAAGCTTTTTCTCGTTAATCAGAACGGCTCTCCCAAGAACAAGCTTTCTCATGATAACTTTGAGAGCTGCAGCCAAACCCTGCAGATCAAAGCCATTTGGGTGATGGTGCAGATAAGCATGCAAACTTGAGGATGCTTATCTGAAACAAATCTCCAAACCTCGCAAGCTCAGAGAAAAATGAGCAATGCTGAGTGGGGTCACTCCACGCTGCTTGATGGCAAGCCAAGCAGCCCTGCAGGTGATGCCTTACCTGCAGCCAGCACGTGCGGCTGCTGGGCAGCCCATCTCCATTCTGACTGCATGAGAGCTGCCCGCAGCTGGACCTCGCAGGATGGCAGCATGCTGGTGGATATGGCTGGTGGGTGCTGGAGGGCTTTGCCAGCTCAGTTCTGCCTTCAGATTGATGCATGTGGGAGAGATTTGGGGAGAGTTCAGAGGAGCGCTGGGGGTGGGCGACTGGGAGCGGCTGTAGATTGCTGTGTGAGTAGCTCTGAGAGGAGAAACCCAGCTGATTTCCAGGGGAAGAAAGGGCTTACAGGTGTCCTTTTTTTTTTTCTCCTGGAAATACAGCCATGGCTCACGGCACCCAGGATCACTGTCAGCATGATAGGATTATAGGATTTGTTTGCCACTGGGCAAATCAGGAGGGGTGAAGGTGTTAGATGTTGGAGAAGGACCATGTGGGGCCAAGAGCTGGGGGGGATCTGCTCCCAGTCCCACAGTGTGCACTGGGTTTGGACTGGCACATGGGACCTAGGGGTCGAGCAGTCAGCAACAGGGCCTCTGGCACTCGTATCATTGGGTCAGAGAAATGTTTAGGGGAAAGCAATGAGATGGGTTCCTCAGGCTGTGAAGTATCAGCACAATGAAGAGACGGCCGTGTTCACCTGGGTTGGAGCCTTCTGAGAGATTTTTTGGCTGAGGATGGTGCATATTGAGAATTTGTGTTTGAACATCTGCTCCTGACACTTCATTAAAACAACAGCAACAAAAGCAGCAGAAAAGATGAGAAGAATTCATCACCAGGCTCCCTTCAGAGTGCCTTCACAAAGGGCAGAGGGGTGCTCAGGGAAGGAGATGTTCAAGAAATGAGAAGAAATAAGGGAAATCCATCATGTGCCAAGAGCCAGACATGCCAATGCTCGAGGCCACCCGGGTGCTGGTGCTGGTGTTCCTATGGGTCATGGTGTTCCTATGGTTGGGTTGTAGTGTTCTTATGGCCAGGTCACGGTGTTCCTATGGTTGGGTTGTAATGGCTGGGTCATGGTGTTTCTATGGCTGCATCATGGTGTACCCATGACTGGGTCATGATTCTCCTATGGCTGGATCATGGTGTTCCTATGGTTGGGTTGTAGTGTTCCTATGGCTGGGTCACAGTGCTCCATGGCTGGGTCTACTCCATGGGGTGGGAGGCCACCAGTAGGCTTCAGCCCACTCAACAGTGCTCTGCTGCCCTCCGTGCTGTAGAGAAGCAGCAGGTTTTCTGCCTTTATTTCCTCCTTTCAGAAATTCTTCAGGCTGCCTGGATATGATCTACAGTTCTCTGTGTAGGCTATTACCTTTCATTTACTTTATAATTGAAAACTGTTAATGAGAATTTAATTACCATTGTGGAAATAACCTCAATAGCAAGGCGTGTAACACTTAGATGATTGCTCGAAGCAATCGATGGTGTTAATGTGTGTGGAGCTCTGGGTGGGCACATTTTAAACAAATACACTCCTTAATTGAATTTAATAACAGCATATTGTAGCTGCTGCTGCAGAAGTAGGACTGGGTTAGTCGTGCTCTCACAGCAGGGATCAGCTTGTGGCATGTTCTGGTAATGCCGTAGTTGAACCAACTGTGGAACTGGGCCTATGGTGTGCCAAAATGTCTGCCGTCTGAGAGGGGAAACTCTGGGAGTCCAGAGAAGATGACTTTGTCATCTTTGACTCAGCTCACAAGCACACAGCTCAGAAGAGGTCAAGTTTGGGTGAAGCAAGCACCCAACTTACACAAGTCTATCACCATGGGCTGCAGGGCTACACATGGCTCCATGGATGCCCGTGGTCCAGCTTGGGCTTATGGAGCATCTCAGTGCCCCTGCGACTGCACAGGCTCCAGCTGGGCCCTCAGCCTTTTGCTGTGGGAGATGGCTGAGTGATTGGTCTTCCCAAGGAGGGTTCCTCCACCATCAAAGCTCTGACCCAGAGCGAGCAGGTGAGATGGCTTGGATAACACAAACCATACGTGAGCTTTGCTTCAAAAGCACGTTGTGTTACCATACTCAGCCTTGAGAAATAAGGTTCTATGATGGGAAGTAGTGCATGTGTGTGTGGGGGGCTATAGCTGTGCTTCCTTCCATTAGTCTCCAACCAAGGTACCTGTCTGGGAAGGAAGGAGAGTTGTAGCAAACTATGGTCCTCTTGTCCATCCCTCAGCACCAAGGGAAGGACGGAGCCTGGGTAACCCCAGGGAAAAAGCCTCCCACCCCCATCCCCTCTCCTGCATTAAACGTTGCAACTTGTGTCTGCTGCGAGGGAAAGCAGGTATATTCCTATGCAGAATTTCCTGATTTCCTGCCAAAGGGTGGAAGTTTACACTTAAGATTCACAACAGCTGTTTCAAGTGCCGCTCTCTCGTGCCAGCCATACCACCTGAATGGCCAAAGGATATATATAAAACTTCAATTATTTTTTGAATGTTTGTTGTTTTTCATTTGGAGACGGATGAGAAGAGATTCTTCGCGAATGATGTAACCTACATAGACTCTGTTATTTCCAACGGTGTGAGCTGAAAAATTAGGGAGGAAAAATCAGGTCAAACTGAAACTTTTCTTTTTTAAGTGAGACAAAGTACTGGGTGGAGAGATTTGGGTTTACCAAAAACATTTAATTCAACCTATTCAACGTTTTATTTCTTCTTTTAAATGTAGGTGATTTGAAAGGGAGAAATGAGAAATGAGAAGCCTCACTTTGAAAACAAAAAAGCAGTATTTTGTGCTTAAAGAAATCTCTCTGCTTATTTTCCAGTGGAAACTGTTTTCAAAATCTCTGAGTAGGTCTAAACCCCCTCTCTAAAGTGCTGTTCCTGAGTTTGTTCCTCCACCCCACTGCTCAGCAGCGTGTCTGTGCCCCATGTAGTGCCACCTGCAGCCCCTCCTGGAGCCTGCTGATGGTCCCAGCTGATCCCACAAGCTCTGGGCCATGAGCAGTCCCTGCGGTGACCCCCAGGAGTCAGGAGTGCAGTGCAGTCACAGAGCACATAGATATGTCACCGAGCATCCCCGTGCTGCGAGCCCCGTGCCGCAGGAAGCGGAACTGGATGACAGCAGGTTGGGAAAGCAGCAGCTGAGTTTCCCAAGCCACATCAAACCAATCTGAAGAGAGATGAATTGGTCTGCTTGGGCCTGAAG